ATACCCAATTAGAGTTCAGGGGAAGATCACAAGTGATCCAGATACCCAATTAGAGTTCAGGGGAAGATCACAAGTGATCCAGATAACCAATCCGAGTTCAGAAGAATATCACATGTGATCCAGATACCTAATCAGGGTTCAGGGGAAGATCACAAGTGATCCAGATACCCAGTACCCAGATACCCAGTGATCTTTTACCGTCGGTATCAGATCGTCTATTCTGGACATGTATGCTCTAGCGCAATAGAGAGTGTGTTTATCTAATGGTTTGGTTATTCCTGTTGTTTTCTAGCTGATGCATGTTATTATAGGTCTGCAGGCCTTGGTAATGTGTAGTGTTTTGCCTGACATCAAGTGGCTGGTATGTAGTTTCTGGTACGTTCTTTGCAAGCTGAGCATCACGCTGTTGAAGCTGTGAACTGTGAAGGGATTCGTAAGCTGGACCTTGACCTTGATGCGATGAACCTCCAGCTGTATCAGAATGTGACAGTGCTTGATAATGCCTTGGTGTTTCTGTAGAGGTGCTGCTATAGCCACTTACTCTGCTTGTCATTTCGTTTGAATGATCATCACGATAAATTCTTATCGGTTCGTATTCACTGGGTGGAGGGCTCTGTGGGGGAGAGTGTAACACCGAGCTGTGAGAAGTCTTGTTTACGACCATTTCTAGCGTATTCTGTAGAAATAAAATGTTGCTAATTAATTGAGATGATATGGGTTGCGTTTTTTGTCGCCTGTGAATAATTACAATTGAATTATTTCTTTTTTTTAGTACTGATAGCTTAAAAACATAAATTATGGTGATTAACAACATCATCAAAAAACATACGTCATAAACAGGATCTTCAACTGCCTTGTTTCTGTTAACTCTGAAATACGGAAAGTTATGAATAAAATTAAGACGATCAATATCATATTGTGATTACTGCATGACGTACGATAGCAACGTAGTTAAATTGAATTACCTTTCTGTATTGGTATTTCTGGTTGGTTCTTTTCAAGAGACAATTAAACAAAACGAAAAAATGTCGGTTAGAAATTCTGTTTAGGTTTTTGTTAATAGCATCTAAGTGCCCTTTTCAGGTTTGAATAAACAGAGATCACTATGCAGAAATAAGGAGAATCAGTAAAAGAAGAAAAATATTTTTCAATGTATATATTCACATACCTTTTCTTTTCATGTTCCTCCAAATGTAAAGGAGCAAGAGAACAATGACTACCAAAGACACCGCGAGGAAAGATGCGCAGACAGCTAATGCAGTGACGCCTTAAGTAAAAGATAAGAAAATAAAAACAAAAAAACATCAATTGAATAAAAGAGACATTAACAGTATGTTGGAATTAATGGGTTGGGGAAACTAGGAGCATACAAATAGCCGGTTATGCGACGTTTTCAGGCAAAGAAAATGATTATGTTAAACAAAGAGGGTCCGAAAAAGGATGCTTGGAGTTATAACAATAAGGGTGTTATTATTATAAAAATAATAATTTTTACTTGTCTTGAGTCAAAAAGAAAAAAACGTCTGTGAATTTTGGTAGCAATGTGATTTTACTAACCGCATTTTTCTTGTTCGTCTGATTTTTTCAGTGATTGCCCATCTGTTAATAATTAAATATGAATATCATAGCTAACCACATGGATTTTATAAAGTATGAGTCCCCATTATTTTGATTAATTACATGTAGAATCCATCCCATATCATTACCACACTTACCAAGTCCTGTAGTAGATGCCTGGGTTGCTGTGGTAACCGGGTTCGGCGAAATAAACGCTGCTTTGCCCTTGTCATCTCCTATTTCACTTTCTCCATACTCGTTCGTTGCCGTGACAATAAACCAATATGTCTGACCAGGCTCCAGATCCTTCACTTGTATAACAAACGTCAAGTTGGACAATTCACGTACGACACTATGTATACGTGCCCAGGGTTTTACTACACCTTGTTTCTGGTAGATGGTATAATCTATTATTTCACCACCATTTTCATCGGGTTTCATCCAGGACAGTGTTATGGCAGTTTTATTTTTGACAAGATGAAGACTGGGCAAAGGTGGTGGACCTAAGATATATAAGCACAAAATACCTGTTTTCCAATGACTAAGGTTTAGTTTTCACACGTTTATGTTATATCAACTGAATTTTTAGATGTCCGAGTTACTTGTAAAACGCGTTAAAATAAATATCAGGACAAGGTCGAAGTGTGAGGGATAATCAGCCTTACAGTATGCAGCACCAACACGCTTGTAATCTTGATCAAGAAATCAGGTAATTTAGGATAGGTCATAATTTTCATGAAGGGGACTTGAAATTTTAAAAACACTCAGGTTCAATGAAGTATAATTTTTTACCTCTTTTCTGTGTAGTAAAGTTGATGATCGATGCATTTCCATACCCAACCACATTCCTTGCGTAGACTCTGACTTCATACCTTGTATTCTTAGTCAGACCAGTAAACTCGTACTCAGAGTTTGATGTGCTCTGTTCTTGTTTCGTACTGTTGATTTGTACATTGTAATCAATAACAGGACTTCCACCATCATAACCAGGTTTGGTCCATCTTACAGTTACAGATGATGCTTTGATATCCTGTTCTAGTATCGTGGCATTAGGGACACCTGGTGGGACTGAAGAATAGTTGTTTCACATTTTTTTAATGAATCGATCTGTCAAGCTCGGATAACATGTTAACTTTTACACAAAAATATTTAATATTAAATTAAATTGAATTGATGAATGTCGATAAAATAATAGTGACGATATACGTAGTATATACAGAATGTAGTTTATCAGTGTATCAAGCTTGAAAAGATTTAATTTTAAAAATTAATCATTAATCATAGATCATTGATCATTGATTATATTGATTATTAATTATAATTAATAATTAATAATTAGCAATTTACAGTTTACAGTTAACAATTAATAATCAATGATCAATAATCAATGATCCATAATCAATAATCACTCGATCTGATCTAGCCTTATTAATAAACATTGCTCATGCATTTAAACAAAGCGTACTTACACAGCTGAATCACATTGATAAGATGTTCAACGCTCCCAGCGACGTTTGTGGCTTTACATTTATACCATCCATAGTCTGCTCCATCTGTCGTTGTTATCACCACGTGACTACCTTTACCAATAGCTGTGACACCAGTAGTTATTTTCTGACCACTGGGCTTGTACCAAGTGATACCTGGCGTGGGTAATCCATCACCGACGGTGCACTTGAGAGTTATCTGTCTGCCATTCCAAGAAGTATTATCACTGCTAGACAGCTCTTTCGAGATTGTAGGCTTGTCTAAGAAAAGTTGAACCAAAATTAAAAAATAGGAGAACATATTTTCAGCCTTGTTTTGTGTCTTAGTAAAAACCTGCAAAACATTAAATGTTGTCTTGTGTTTAAACAAGGTTTATCAAAACCAAAGGAGATATAGGCCATATAAATGAAACTGAAGCGATCGGATGGGATCGAAGACTGTTTTCCGCTTAATTCACTGCATTATTCTATGGTTAAGCGACTAATGTCAGCTACCATGGCGATTTATAACAGCTTCGTTTCCATTATCTTTTGCATTTTTTAAATAAATTGTAAAAATATTTGATACACTCACAGTTGACCGTCACCTTTGTCCTCTTAGTGGCTGCAGTCTCGTTTGGGTTGTTGTTGGCCCTACACTCATATACTCCAGCATGGTATCGTTTAATGTTATCTATCTGCAGTACAGCACTTCCTGATCCATGGCTCTTGGGATGAACACTACCATCTGATATATTCACCCACGTGATGGTTGGTGTTGGTGGACCAATAGCTGTACAGTTTATCTTTAAATCCTTTCCCTCGATAATCTGGTATGTGTTGTTTGGGTGACTTGGTAAGAATGTAGGACGCACTGAAATAATGTATTTAGAAGTAAGTAAAAACTGAGCAAAACAGTAGGCGGGCTTTGTTTTTTTAGGGCACAATGCCTCTAATTGCATATTCTACCAGCTCACTAGATATACACCGTGCTGACGAGGCCCAATAGAGGCCGAGACAGCTGTTCACGGTTTCTAGTTGAGCTGGCTCATATTTTACGCAACTTCAAGTTGTGAAAGGCCCAGTGCACCTTCTCTTCAGTCGTTAGATACAAGGCTCGCGTAATTTTTAATTTACCTTTTACGCATGTTTTTATATTCCAAAATGAGTTACGAAAGAACCATAAATAAATATGCAAACATTGAGTGCATTTTTCAGTTCATCCAAAGCGTTGTATGTAAGCCAGAATATGGATTCTCGCTTTCGTTGTCCCAAAAACAGTGTAGAAGAAGCTAGTTTATGGCATGATGTAAAGCAAAAATCTACCCGATACAAAGATAATGATGTATGGAGGAATTTCGCTCATGGCTAGCCAGCCGAGTGTTGAAATTTCCCAACGTTCAAGTTGGAACAGTTTTCAAAGATTACGATCTACGTACCGTGAAAGGCTGGATGAAAAATTGGAAGATATGGAAGCTGACATTCTTAATTATTGGTTAACTAAATTTGTGGAAGAGGTGGCGAATAAGAGTGGTGGTCGCTATCCAGCGACGACAGTACCCTACATTATCAGCTGCGGAATGAAGAGGCATTTGGATGATCGTAAAGGAGAAACTGGAACGGCATTGAATCCTTTGGACAGGACGGGAAAAGGTACGTTCTATAAATTTCCTCAATTAATACAAATTGAATGTAAATAATTTACATTAACTTAATTTTGGTCACAGATTCTATATTGTCCGGGAGGTTCTCGACGCCGAAAAATGAATTAAACCAGCGTGAAGGCGTGGCTCTCTCCGCTAGAAAAAGAGGCAGTGACAGACGATAAAAAAAAAGCTCTTAATGGAACAAAAAGGAGTGTAAGCTTCAAGTACCGCTAAGTCTCTACTAAATACTATGTATTTTTTTGACGGAAAGGTTTTTGGTATCAGAGGTGGTGAGCACCGAAAATTTAAGGCTAATTTTCAGTTCAATCAGAGCCGAACTTCATAAAGTTTACGAAAAATGTTAGTAAATCGTTGAGGTTTTCTACTTAAGACCTTCGAAGAGCAAACTATATAGCATTTGAAAAGAGCCCTGTAGGAATTAACTAACTTAATTCTATTTTGCCCAATATGTGTAAATATGTGGGTATTAAGGTTACGACAGCTCATTGTTTAAGAGTCTCTTGTGCTACAAAGCCGGCTATTTAATTCAAGGCCGGGTACAAGAGAAATGATTCTCGAAAGAACGGGTCATACGTCAAATGCTTTATTAACGTACAAAAAAACAAAAAACCGTTTGTTTTGATCAGAGTATCAAATGCGGAAACTGTTAATGTTCTGTTAAATGAAAGTATCTCAGTTACTTGGTCCAGCATTAGTTCGGCTTCAACTTTTCTTTGATAGGTGATATCTTCTTCGTTGGTAGCAACTGGTTCTAACTCTTCAGGATAAACCAAGTGAACATCAAAAGGACTTTCAATCAATTGAGAAAGTATCAAAATTGAAAAAGAAACTATACTATTTAGATTGATTTTTTTCACGATATTGCGTTTAAAACATCAAATAAACTTCAGGTAATTTAACAAGAAATGTAGACAAAAGGACACTAACATGAATGGGTTGAATGTATGATGTCACAGCATAAAACAACGGTAACCACTCTTTAGCCGTGATTCAACAAATTAATGGCAGACAAAATTAAATCGTAAACTTTTGGCACTTTTCTTTCGAGTATCAAAAAGATATTTCATTGAGTGGTCGTTGATGTATCCAATATTATTTCAGCAAAGTTCCAGCTCAAATGAAAGAGTTTTATTTTTGGAGCGAATTCGTATCCAAGTGCCACTTAAATAACTCATGAGGACAAAACAAATAAAAACATTAGCACAAAGGATGTTTGAAAATATGTTCTTGGTTGGCATGTACTTTTCAACTTATGCTTACTAATGAGTTTGAGAAGCCATATCAAACACTTTAAAGAGTGTTTCATCCTCTCAAACACCTTGAAGTTGGTTCAAATTCCTCAGGTTTGCCTCATATTTTCAACTCACTCAGTGTTTGGAAATCAGATCAAACACTCTTTTATATGTTTGATATAAACATATAGCTTTAATATCTCCACTTCAAAAGTTAAAAAAGTAATTCATAAGTCTTTGAACCTTTTGGAGCGGCCATACATGTCAAGCGCATGGCGACGTTTAAACCAGATAAAATCCTTCTAAATAATACTGAGAATGACTTTATCACAGATGAAGGTGCATCCAAGTTAAGATGAAGATTTAGCACCTCATCAAGGTCAGTCTCACGTACGACATTGAAGACCCACAAAAAAATCTTCGACTAGTGCCCCTGTCTTGGGTTGGGCATGCTGCCTTCAACATTGTGGAAGCCTTTTTTGGGCTCACTGCGCATGGCAGTGATACCCAAACATCAATGCGCATGACATTGAAATACAAAGGTCTATCAAAGCACCAAAGTCATGCTCACGAAGTATGTGGTCACACTAATTCAACCAAAGGCTTATTCCTAACTTTTTGAAGCAGCTCAATAAACTTGCAGATCATTTTTTATGAGGTCTAAAACCAAACAGCTATGCCTCATGCTTTTAAACCTGATAAAATACTCCAACTTGTTTATCAAACAGTACTTCATGTTAATCAAGAGAGGAGTTTGGGCTGCCTGTGCCTAGACTCATTCCTTGATTCAATTGTGAATAGGAAGTTCTGCAATAATTATTTACCTGTTACTATCAGCTGTGTTGTGCTCTTTATTTGAACCTGACCTCCAGTTAAAATCAGTGAGCAATTATAGTTCCCATTATCGAGCGTGCTCACATTTGAGATGACCAGAGTAGCAACAGATTCCTTGCTGAGTCGATGTCTCAGTCTTGCTGGACATGATGGCGTTACTGTCCATATCYATTCCATTTTCCCAGTTGCATGTACATAAGTCCAGGCTTCAGCAGCAATACGAGTCTGGTTAATGCTATTAGTGTAAAGCCATTCTGGTGACGTTGTAAAAAACTCACTGTCTCGGTCATTGACATGATAATTCCAGACAAATTTTGCATTTTCTCCATTATGAACAAACAAGATAGGTGGTGGAACTTGAGTAAATCTTACAGCTCCATCTTGAATGATGATATAATAAAGGTGATGTAAATAAAACAAGGTTCAGCAGGAAAAATAATTTCGATGAAAACAAACAGTTGAAACGTACTTGAATGATAATTAATATTTAAACATTTAAGTTGGACTTCAAATCGATGGCTTTTTTTTAGCTAAAAATGAAAAACAAAAATAAGGATAGGCAATAATGGGAATCTCTCATTTAGCAGAAGAAAAGTGCCAGCAGACTTTATGAACAATATAATAAGTATAGAATGTGCTTAATTGTTTTCCTTTTGTCTCTCACTCCCTACACCCCTCCCCGAGGGGTATTAGACTAGCTACTAATCCTCACTCGGCCAAATCAATAAAGCAAACACCAAACAGTGGCCAAGGGAAAGAAATACAGGACTCGGACTGCTTCCAACGCGCAGTGTATATAATTGTTGCCGGCAAAATTGTCATGGAAAGCATAGATGGTCAGCGGGCAGACAAAAAAATGGAAACAGCGGCTATCGTAGACTAACTTTACCTAAATTTCATTTAACCAGAACATGCCCGATTATCGAAGAGTGTGTAACTGCTCTATCCAGCACTACCACTGAACAGCAATGCTTGCCATATATTATTGAGGTATCAGAGTACCTCGTATTAAGGAATCACAAGCAATATATATTTTTAAAATAAACAATGGTTTTCTGTTACTCAATTCGTAGAAACTGACGTCTTCACTGAGAAATCAAGGATGTATGTCTTGTATCATAATCTCCAGCATCAGTTAATTAACTAATCAACTCACCTACGCAAGGAAGTAAAAACAATTCGACGATGAAACCAAGTATATAACAAGAAATGATAGGTTCTTGACACACACTCATCCTGAGAAAGATTTTTACATCCAAAAACTTAACAGTGTTTTTAGATACCGTACTTTTCTCGTTAAAGATGGCACTGTCTGCGAGTCTTGCTGCTTCAAAACAACGCAATGGTCGCCTCTAATTATGCACACTATTAGTTTCCTGTGGTTGACCTTTGGTGCTTCATCCAAGTGTTGTCTGTTTTAATTGTAACGCAACATTTATCTTTGAAATATTTTTTTACTCGAAACAGCTTTATCACATGCCGTTGTAGCACTTATTATATCCCGGTTCAACATCAATTTGAAACGTATCAACAAGGGCGGAGGAATCTGAAAATCTTTGGGGGAGCACTGAAATATTATATTTAACGCTATGTGATAATGACCGCTGTTTTGTTTGATTGCATACGCATGCGCCGTAAAACTATGACTGAGAACCTATATTTTGTTGGGGGCCAGGCCCCCTTAAAACAATTCGCTCCTGACCAAGAAGTAATACGCTTTAATTGTAAATTACTTATATTTTAAATCTTAACTGACTTTTACAACCGTTTAAAACAAAGATACGTTTCTAAGCATACTTAACCAGTGCCTTTTACTTTCATATGGAAAGATACACACTGTTACAGCATAATGAAACAGGTGGCGAAATAATGAAGAATTCGATTTCGTATACATCAGATACTTTGTGATACAGCGATATTAAACGAATGCTCTTATCTTTTATATTTGTTTAACTTTTCAGTTTTTATGACAAAAAAAAAACAAAAAAAAAAACGATTAATAGGATAATACCGCAAAAAAAAAAAGTTCCCTAATTTATGTAACCGCATATTAAAAGACGTTTTTTTTCGCCTGTCATGATTATTCATGTTAAAGTTAAGTCTGAACCAATCAGGATCTCCATTGACCGAGGCCGCAATGCATACAGGGTATACTAGTCCATTTTGTCGCGGAAGTATCAGAAGAAGAAAAAAACCGAAGGCATTTTTCGACTGGTGCTTCCACGTGTATCCCAGCAAGATTTGACTAATTCCCTAGGGCCTTGGTTTAACGTATCTCTATACGAAGAAGAATTAGAAAAGATGGCGGCACTCACTACTAGTATATTAATTTATATACTTCTTGCTAGCGGGAAAGGTGGCCTTGAAATGCTATACTGGATACTTTATTCAATTTTCATTTCTAAACAATCTTTAAAATTGTGTTTCAGTCGACAGTGCCATCGATAATATAGAACCTATGACAAGGAAGGTTGGAGAATTCGTGGATTTTCTTTGGAATGCCTCTTTAACTCCAATCATCGGTTCACAATGGGGACTTCCAGATCCATCTGGGGATGATCCTCCCAAACCTTTGTTTGTTAGTACACGGATTACCTCAAGTAATGCAGCATTTAGTATTGACCCAGAGTATAAGGACAGAGTCCATTTCATCGGTGATCTGTGGATTGGTCATGCATGGTTTAGGCTGACCGATTTGAAAACCAGCGATACAAACCAGTACAGAGCAACAATGCATGAAAATGGCGGAATTAGTTTGCCCTTTACAGTGTCTCATAGTGTCTCTATTAACTATGAGTGTCTTTAACAGTTCTTGCTTAAGGTAATTTAAGAAGTTATAGTTTTTTATTGTTCTTGGACCTAGAAATGAGGAGGGTGCAAACCGGCAGGTACATAAAACACAGCTCAGAAAATTCATACTGAAAGTTAAAACTGCAGGTCAGTTATAAGTCTATGAAAAAGGATTTTAATAATACATTTTACCTCATGTTGTGATGCCGCTTCTAGACTGTTCAGTACTCACTCATCTCGATAAATGAGGCTGTAATTAACAGAGCCACACGAATCTAATTGTCTTTATTAGCTTTCAATCAACTTATACGGCACTGCAATTAAAAGAGATTATAGCCATCTCGCCGTGACGGTTGTCACGCAATAGACGCAAAATATCATAAACATAAAATCTTAAATGTTGACTTAACAATAAAGTTAGAAGTATTATATCTTTTAAATTTGCGGCTTTTGTTTTCACCACTGGTAAGGCTTGGGAAGTTGTACAATTTTAAAGTTAGGCTAGCGGTAAAGGATTGAGGTTTAAGAAATGGACTAAGAAAGCAAAAAATAATAAAGTACACAATGAAATTCTAACCAGTGGAGAATTTTCACCGAGATTTTATAAACCTTGACTAAGTCCATAAAAAAGAGCGCCAGAAAATACGGTATAACCTAAAGCTTTCATATAAGTAGGGTGCAATATGTATGAGATATTAAAAAAAGGTATGAACACTATCAATTGAGACAATTACAACAACGAATTAAGATGAGACGTTTAGTGGGCGGAACCTCACTCCTCAGGTTTCTATATTTATCTGTGAAATAACTATGGAATTGCAAACTACGATTTCTTGTTGGAATCAAATTCGTATTTATTCTCTCCTTTTAGGCATTACTGTAGATCAAAGAAACGCTCAAGGAATGACAGGTGCTTTGAAAAGAAGCATGACTCAAAAAAGGACTGTTACCTGTTTGCTAATATAAAATCACTGTTATTTTAATAAATAAAATTACTTTTATTTTAATAAATAAAATTACTTTTATTCAAATGTCTAGTCGTTCTAGGGCTTTCGCACTAATTGGGGACACTTTTCGCTCACAGGCACTACCACTACATTCAATGTTCTATGAACACAGCGCTCAGCTCACATGTTGATTTTTACGGAGGGAGGAAACCGGAGAAAACCCTCGTAGCACAGGAGAGAACAGCACATCAAACAAACTCAATTCACATGTGGTGACTGCAGAGCTCGAACTGGCAACCCGTCCCGTTGGACTCACAGCGGTGAAAGACGACGCGTTAGCCGCGAACGCCACCCGGCATGCTATAATTCAACAAATGTTACTCAAACATATCGAGAAATGATACACTGACGACAACTTGACTGAAATTCAGCTTAGCCATACTTACATTTTACTACCACAGTTGCAGCTGCACTGTTAGTGTGTTCCCTGTTGTCATAAGTATTTTTTGCTGTACATACGTACTTGCCAGCATCTCTTTTGATAGCATAAGGTATTCTAAGTGTTCCCCCAGCTACTGTGTGACCATCTTTGATGACACCATCAGCCTTCGTCCATGATAGGGATGGTGGTGGAAAACCATCTGCTGTACAGCTGAGTACGATCTCATCACCTTCTACAACTGTGATACTTGGAGGAGTTTCAGTGCTTTTGGGAGAATATGTAAATTACAATATAACAGCCTATATCAACGTTATCTTGAAGTTGTTGCTGTTGATAGTATTGATAATCAGTCACTAATAAAAAATTGAAGAGGGCAATATATGCCTTGTTAAATAAGTTTCGTGCTTGAGTTTATCATTAACCGGGTCATTACAAGAATAAAAGTCAAAAAAGAAAAGAAAAAGAGATAAAGCTGTGGACACCCCTAGTTAAACAGCTATATTAGGCTTTACAGAGCTTGGAACCCTATTAAAATTATCATTAGTAGAAAATGCTAAACGAAATGGCAAGTAGAGTTTGATTCTGAATGCGATTAGGCAACAATTTGATTTTTATGTGAGAGGTAATAGGGTATTCACGATCATTACTACAAACTTATACTGCAAAGCCTTCTGGGATCCATATGCGAAAAAAAAATTTCTATACAAAGGCTTTGATTAGCGCAATTTAAAAAGAATATTAAAATCAGTTGTAAAGCCATAGCTCTTAAATGAATTGAGAACAGCAGGACAACAAAACATTGTTAATTGCATTATGTGTGGTGGGCTTGGCTTGTCCACACTTCCCAAGATGCACAATCGAGATATGATTCAGGTTTTTATGACCTCCAGTTTGGAAGTCTTTATAAATCATAATAATACTTTACCTACTTTATACTTTCAGTAGGCTTTCGAGTCTCCTTGAACAAAGAAGTTAATTCAAACCACAAGCCCTATCTCCCGATATTAGATTTCTTAAAACAACTTCTTGAAATATAAACAAGTTCAGAAAAGCATGCCATTCAAGAGTTTCTCCCTTACCTACAGCAGGAAGTCAGACCAATATTTCAAGAAAACAAAGGGTTTAAAAAAGCCTTTTCGATTTCACAGACATACATTTCTACTGATTAAGTAATTAGCACAATTTGTTGTGGAGCTTACGACGTTTATGTCAACTGGAGGAAACCTGAAATAGTTATTCCTCCTACGATTATTTGTAAAAAAAAAAATTCTATTTATAATTATAATCAATATGACAGAGCGGAAAAACCGGACGCATGCGCATTAGAGACTATTTTCATGAGCAATCCAATATGGCGGACGAGAGGCGGGAAAAATCTGTCTCTTGGAAAATTGCTCTGAAAACGGACAAAAACGCWGCAATGACACTCAAAACTTTTCAAAACAACTCATAATTCGTCAGAGCCCTTGATCTTGGTAGTTTTTTTGAAGCTTTTTGTCGACTTGACGCCAAAATAAGGAATTCTACGACTTGATTGAGAAGGACTTCGATCGCATCTCCTAGTGTTCGATGACAAGTGGA